TTCACACTCGCCTCTGGCCATCAGACCAGGGCTGGCCCTAGCATTTTGGGGGTCCTAAGCAGATTTTCAAAGGACAATGTATAAGGGTAAACAAATGTTTAAATAAAGATATGGCATATTTCAATATTTGATGTTATTTGATAAACACCAAAGCGAATAAAAATAATCTGAACGGCTGTTTGAAAACATGTAAATACAGTTTGACTTTGACCTCGGTGACAAACAAGCAGGTGTCAGAAGTTGCGCTTGTGCGGTGCTGCTTTGTGTAGCGGGGTAACCATGGTAACGGCAGTATTTCTGCTGGTCCTAAAGCGCCACCTGCTGTCAGAGAGAGTAAACTGCATTTTTATTCAGCACTTCTGCTGCTTTTGTTCAGATCAATGAGGAAATCTCACCCAACTTTCTCATCAAACACGTAGTGTTGTAAAAAATAACTGGTCGATGGAAAATAAGATACTGTGTGTTCTAAAAATCTAAACCATTGGGATAATAAGATATCTAGAATTATTCGCGTATTTTGAAGTGCCCAGTGTAACAATACCGTTCATGTTCATTACTGCTGTTTCATTCACAGCGCGTCTTCAAAGCACTCGCAGCACGATGCAACAATATTACTTATTAGGTCGGACCGGCACTGCTTCAGACAGTCATTATTAATGAGCCCTGACCTGGTAATGATCAGATATGTTGTCAGTGTGAATGAAATGTATGCATTTATTCATATTTTTATCCGAAACTAAGTGAGAGGAGTTCTCCCGAGGCTCCCTCTAGTGGGCTGCAATTGTCCTCTAGAGGGGGCATTTTTTCTCAGACAATGTAAGTCTATGGGACATTTTTGATTTTTAATAATTATTTATAGGAAAACTGTAAGTTTGATCAATCTGAAAAGACATAGCAACAAACTACACATCAGGGCCGTGGTCTCTGCCGAGTTTGGGGCTTGAAGCATTAAAGCCGTAGGAGGAGATAGGTTTGGAAAATTTAGTCTAAGAAGAAGAAGAAGAATTTTAAATAGCATAACAGTATGTTGGCTTTCTCAAGCACACTTAATAATAACTACCAAGATAATGCATGGACACAATTTTGAATACTTACATTGCAAAGTCATTATATTATCATTAGAGAGTCATTTAATTCTGCATTTGAATCTCACGCAGTACGTGGTAATGTGGCAGGGGTAAATGAAGCACTTAGCTAAACTTTATCCTTATAAGTTAACTTTGAAGTCAACTTTGCACCTCTGTTGGATCAAGGAAGTAAATCAGTCAGATAATAGAAAGTGTGATACTTTTGCTACTTTTGTTGAAGCCAAGTTTTGTTTTTGTCAGTTGTGTTAAATGTACAGTGTAAACAATACAGAAGCCTATATATTTAAACTTTATGTGCACAGTAGTTGAATTTGAATTGCTACTTTTGCCTAAACATCCTTTTGTAAATAATGCAATCAAGAATACTCACATTTCAGTAAGACATTTTAATTGATCTGATTCCTGCAGAATGAATGTGGATGGCATTAGTTTGACATTTTTCGTCTTCTTTCATAATTTTCAGGAGCACAAGCCTCCTTGTTATCCTATGGAGGGACTAACATCTTTGCAGCAGAATGTGTTGAACACAACTGAACTGGAAACGGAGTGGGTTGGTGTAAGGTCAGCCAGAGGGTTTGTAGTCTGGCCAGCTGAAGTAAAAGAGAAGAAAAACCCGAAGTCCTTGTGGATAGTTCGCACTCTTCACATGCATGTCAAGGATGGGATATAAAACAGGCAAAGAAACACTCTGATAAACGCTACAAACGAAACGAAACAGATTACACAAGATAGCGTTCTATAACAAGCAGCAGCAGAGCGGCCGTCTCCCTTTTTCCTCTGCGCCTGCGCACTCACACGAGGAGAACAACGTAGGAAGAGTAATCATAAAGGCAATTCAACATTCATCTCATAAACAGCGTTTAACATTAGGTGGCCGTTACATTGGGCAGGACACAGTCAGTCAGTCAAGTTCAAAGGCAAACAACACAATAAAGGCAAAAACGCCCCAAAAAATAAATAAATGCATGTCTATATTATATATTATTTATTTCTATGATATCAAAATGTATTGACATGTTTTGAGATTGATAAAAATGTTTTACACATACTGGACATACATATTTGTATAGAGTATATATACATATCACATATTTGTATAGAGTATATATATATATATATTATTTTTTTTTTTTAATAGCTATAACTCCGATTGTATTCGTCTGAAAGAAGGAAGTCATATACACATAAGATGGCTTAAGGGTTCATGGGGTTATTTTCATTTTTGGGTGAACTATCCTTTTAAAAGTACTCCTTACTTATTCAACAGAAATATCAATTCTATCTGAACACCGAGGCACCACTGAGCTGATACTAAACCTCTGATCTGAATTATTCCCTACTTAACATCCCTACTTATTTAAGTTTTATTATTTGGATACGTTTTTATCTCCTCCATTGGTATCACTGACTGCACACAAAATCCTATATAATCGGTTATTACTGTTATTATTTCATTAAGGGGCCCTGATGAAACTCCTCCCACACGGTGCAATCAAAACAGGTTTTACGTTTTTCATCCTACTAAGGCAATGTTACAGGAGAGCTGGGAATCTGGGAAAAGGCTAAATGAGAACTTTGGTAGGATTGGAAATGACACAGCTAAAGAATTATGAGTTTTTAATTTGAGGATAAGTTGCACTGTAGTTTATCCAGAGGTCTGTGGTACCCAGTGGCAAAAAGAAAAACGTGGTGGAGGGCACGAAAGATATTTCCTATTGAAATACATTCGATGGAAATTCGTGCTGAGTGACACGAAAAAAGAGGGAAATTCATGTCCATGAACACGAGTCAATAGATTAAATTTCGTGACAAGACAAAGTCTGCTACTGTCACATTCAATGTTAATATGCTTCCAAAACTGACAAAGCAGAAAATAATTAATCACAAGGCAGTTGTTGTTTGAGTTTAGTAAATAATAAATAAAACATAAAAACATGACATTGTGAAACAAATGTGGGTTATTTACAGTTGCTGTTATCAAACTAATTTAATACATAAATAAATTAAAGATTACAGACTGTATTATTACCTAGGTTATTACATGCAGAGTTTTTAGGTCCTATAATTAACACCTCTGTTTTTTTAGAATTTAGCAGTAAGAAATTACTCGTCATCCAGTTTTTAATATCGACTGCATTCCGCTAGTTGTTCAAATTGGTATGTTTCGCCGGGCCACGAAGAAATATAGAGCCGAGTATCATCAGCATAACAGTGAAAGCTAACACCATGTTTCCTGATGATATCTCCCAAGGGTAACATGTAAAGCGTGAAGAGTAACGGCCCTAGTACTGAGCCTTGAGGTACTCCATACTGCACTTGTGATCGATATGATACCTCTACATTCACTGCTACGAATTGATGGCAGTTATACAAGTACGATTTGAACCATGCTAATGCACTTCCATTAATGCCAACAAAGTTTTCTAGTCTATTCAAAAGTATGTTGTGGTCAACAGTGTCGAACGCAGCGCTAAGATCCAATAGCACTAATAGAGAGGTACAACCACGATCAGATGATAAGAGCAGGTCATTTGTAACTCTAATGAGAGCAGTCTCAGTACTATGATACAGTCTAAATCCTGACTGGTAATCCTCACAGATACCATTTTTCTCTAAGAAGGAATATAATTGTGAGGAAACTATCTTTTCTAGTATCTTGGACAGAAAAGGGAGATTCAAGATCGGTCTGTAATTAACTAGTTATTTGGGGTCAAGTTGTGTTTTTTTGATGAGAGGCTTAATAACAGCCAGTTTGAAGGTTTTGGGGACATATCCTAATGACAATGACAAATTAATAATAGCCAGAAGAGGATCTATGACTTCTGGAAGCACCTCTTTTAGGAGTTTAGATGGAATAGGGTCTAACATACATGTTGTTGGTTTAGATGATTTAACAAGAGTGGAATTGTTCCTCAGGCAATCTATAGAACACTATCTGATGCGATACTGTAGCTGTAGGTTTCCGGGCTGCTCTCTTTAGAGTGCGAGTGTGCTCATTATACCACGGTGTCAGACTGTTTTCCTTAATCTTCCTTAAGCGTAAAGGAGCAACTGTATCTAAAATGCTAGAAAAGAAAGAGTCCATAGTTTGTTACATCATCAAGTTGTTCTGAAGTTTTGGATATGCTAAGGAATTGGGATAAATCAGGAATATTACTTACAAAGCAGTCTTTTGTGGTAGACGTGATGGTTCTACCATACTTGTAACAATAATTAGAATTTACAGTTTTAGCTATATGAAGTTTGCTACTAAATTATATATCTATAT